TGTATATTGCCTGCATGTAGGTAAGTGCACTTGTGTCATGCAGTGCCTGTGAAGGACAGAAGAGGCTGTTGGATGCCCTGGAACTGGAGTTACAGACAGTTGTTAGCTGCCATGTGAGTGCTGGGAGTTGAACCTGGGTCCTCTGAAGAACAGCAAGTGTTCTTATCCACTGAGCCATCTCTCTAGCCTCTCAACTCCTGAATTTTATATGCAGACTTTAGACTTTCTTACAAGGTTATATTATGTCTTACATTATTTTATATTATTTATCTTTTTGCATTTAAAAAAATTTATTAGAGTTTATTTGTGTAATTAATATTTGGGTCCAATTTTGTTTTCTTTTATTTTTTTGGTCTTTTTGAGACAGGGTCTCACTATGTAGACCAGGCTGGCCTTGAACTCAGAGATCCACCTGCCTCTGCCTCCCAGTGCTGGGATCAAAGGTGTGCGCCACTACACCTGGCTTTCTTTTTTTTTTTTTAATTTTTAAATTACATTTATTTATGTAGGGCTGGGGCACATGTGGAAGTCAGAGAACAACTTGTAGAAAGAAGTTGGTTCTTGAGCCTTCTACCATGTAGGTTCCAGGGATCAAACTCAGATCATCAAGGTTTGGTGGCAAATGCCTTTACCCACTGAACTATCTCATTAACCCCCAATTTTATTTTCTTTTATGTATGCCAGAATGGCACTCAAAGCTGAATGATTTACTTTTCCCTACTGATTGAACTATTAACTCTTTCATATTAAACTCTCCTCAATTATAGTATCTATTTCCATATACCTATTTTATTTCACTGAAATAATTTTTGTGGGAATGTTTTCTTTTTATAAACAAGTTTCCTAGGCCTTGGGTTCCTTTTGTAACTTTAACATATAGCTTTAATTCTCCATACCCTTCCTTGTCCCTAATCCAGAAATATATATATAAATAAAATGTGTGTGTGTGTGTGTGTGTGTGTGTGTGTGTGTGAAAATAGCAAAGGCTGAAGGATCTTTGGAAGCAAGGAATTATCATGTTTACATTGCAAACAGGTGGGATTAGAATGGTAACAGTGGTTTGTGGTTGCGTATGTTATTCTAGGTTGGTAAAGGTCAGAAGGGGCAAAATCCTCTGATGAAACATGTTCCTCTTTCCCCATGTGATGCTGGATGCACTGTTTCAATAAAGGGAGAGCAAGTCCTTTTGTTGGGGAGGACAGCTCTGAGAGAAACCAACAGGAGAAAGTTCTCAGAATGGTTCTGACTCACTCCTGGTTTCAACTAATGCCAAGGAGACTTCGTTCAGGAACTACCACAACGTGGCATCTCTCTACCAAAATTTTTGAGTACCTACATATCAAAATGTCTTCCTTTTGCGTCACCTCTGATAGTTTGGCATCAACTTTCATCTGATCTCTGATGACTGTTCCATTGCTTTCTGCCACCAATTCTGCAATTAGAAATCTAATTCTCAGCTAGGCTTGGTGGTGCACGCCTTTAATCCCAGCACTTAGAGGCTGAGACAGGGATCCCTCTGTGAGTTCAAGGTCAGACTGGTCTATATAGTGAGTTCCAGGCCATCTGGGGCTACAGGAAGACCCTGTCTCAAAAAAACCAAAATAAATAAATAAATGAATGAATGAATGAATATTCTCATTCTGCAATAGGGTAGTAGTTTATCTTCCAGAAAAAGGATTAACATCTTCTTTGAAGTTTTTAAATGTTTATTATGTGTCCAGGTCAATCTGTTTTTCTTTTTTCTCTTGCAAAAATCAATTGCCCCTATTTATTTTGAAAACTAGATTTTTTTTCAACATAGAGAAACTTTCCTGTATTATATCTATGAGGAGTTCTTCCCTCTATTTTTGTTTGTCTTCTCTAAATTTATTAAGCAGATGCTGAAGCTTTTGGTTCTCTGTGTGATGTCTTAGCTTTATCTTCCAAAGTATTCATTAATTTTTTAGTTATAATATTATCTGGCCTGTTAAAAAACACACCACATTTCTACACACTCTTTGTGGTATTCTAAATAATCCATTTTATGTCAAACTGACCAAGTTCTAAGAATGCAATACTTCCTAAGATAAGTTTTTAAAGTTAAAGGTGCTCTATTACCTCATCTTGGTTTTTATGTTGCTTCTGGTGTTCCAATCAGGCTTATGAATGAAAATTAAGTTGATTTCATATGGACTTAGTTCTGTTTGTTTGTATAAAGCTAATAAATTGGTTTGGCGTGACTATAATGTTTTATAATCAGAAACGTATTTTGGTCTTCACCTTCAATTATAGGCCTAAAGCTCTTATTTCCTGGGAAATATGGGTCCAAGGTACTTCTTGTATTATTCTCATATTTATGACTCCAATTTCTGACATAGAGCTCCTAATCTGTTAGAATTTTCTAAGTGACAGGATTCTCTTTTATATTAATGGAGTAACTTTTAGTGAGTTCTTGGGATATGAGATAGTCACAAAAGAGACCAAGTCAAGATTAGAAGCTTGGGGGTGGGGAGGGAGCTGGAGAGATGGCTCAGCAGTGAAGAACACTTATTGTTCTTCTAGAGGACCTGAGTTTGGTTCCCAGCACCCACATAAGGTGGTTCACAACTGCTTTTAACTCCAGCTCCCTGGGATCTGATGCTCTCTTCTGGCCTCCTCAGGCACCTTCACAACATGTGTGTGTCACACACGGGTGTGTATATAAAAAAAATAAAATATCTATTAAAAGAGATGGGGGGAGGGGAAAAAAGATTAAGTATTTGGAACTTTCAGAACCATCTAACACCTTCAATTAACAATAATTATAATTACATTCTATATATAACAGAAGAAAAAGGGTAAGTGAACTGAATTTGTTTTAGAGGTTAACTACTAATTCTGCCCCATAAACAAATAATCCCAAGCCTGTGTTATTACAATCAATTCTTCCTGAAGAAAGGGCAGGAAATGTATGCATGAATACATTCTCAGTAATAATGTTTGAAAGCTGTATTTCTTAAGATCGAAATCTACAGGTTGGTAGTTGGCAACTCTACTAGTTCTTAGTTTGATCTTTAATGCAGGAATTCTAGATTCTAGAAAAATAACGCCTTTTTTTTTTTTTGGTCTTTTACAGACAGGGTCTCCCTGTAACCCCAGCTGGCCTGCCACTTGTTATGTAGACCAGGCTAGCCTCGATCTCACACAGAGATCCACCTGCCTCTGCCTCCCAAGTGCTGGGACTAAAGGCATGTGCCACCATGCTCAACTTGGAACATAATACTTTCATAGGAACATGTTTTTAAAATCAAAAGGGAATTTTAAAACACTGAAAAACTTTTAATTTCTGTTGTCTCAGGAAAAAAAGAAAAATTACTTTGACTTCAGCTGATTTGGAACTTTTTATTAATGTTAAAAGCAATCATAGGGGGCTAGAGAAATGGCTCAGTGGTTAAGAGTGGTTAAGTGTTTGGCTTAGGTTCACATAAAAACAATAATGGTATGCCAGGCTGGTGGTGCATGCCTTTAGTCCTGGCACTAGGGAGGCAGAGGCAGGCAGATCTCTGTGAGTTAAAGGCCAGCCTGCTCCACAGTGAATCCAGGCTAGCTGTGGCTACCAGGAGACCCTGTCTCAAAATGACCAAAAAAAAAATAACCAAATAAAAAAACAATGGTAAAACAGTGTCCATGTAAGCAAGGTGGCTCACAACTGCCTGTAATCCCAGTTCCAGGGGATCCAATGCCATCTTCTGGCCTCTGCAGGCACCCATATTCATGTGTGCATACCCCCATAGTGACACATAAAAATAATAAAAGAAACCATATACAGCAAAAAGTTACTGGTTTAAGTTATAGGCACATTATTTATTAACCTGACAATATTTATTGCACTTGATCCTTTACAATAATTCATCAGATTTCTCTGCTTTAAATGTTTCCTTTTTTAATATTTTATTTATTATTTTTATTTTATGTGTACGAGTGTACTGCCTGCATGTATGTAAGTGCACCCATGTCATGCAATGCTGTGGAGGTCAGAAGAAGGCACCAGATCCCTGGAACTGGAGTTAATGGACAGTTGTTAGCTATCATGTGGGTGCTGGGAACAGAACCTGGGTGCTCTTGCAAGAGCAGTCAATGCTTGTAACTGCTGAGCCATCTCCCCAGCCCCTAAACATTTCTTATAGGGTAAACTGTTCTAATGATGACAATAGTATCAACCATCAAAAAGAAGTTATATAAACAAGAGGAAAAATATCAACTCACACTGAAAACTCAACTTTTGATAACTTAAGCTGGAGATTTTTCAGTGTAATCTTACCTAAAACATACTAGACAACAAATAACCTTATATTCTGAAATTATAATAGACTTTTTAAAGAAGTTTTTTAGAAAATCTTTTTGAGAGAGGGTCTCCCTGTAGCCCCTGCTGGCCTGGAACTCACTTTGTAGCTCAGGCTGGCCTTGAATTCACAGAAATCCGCTTGCCTCTGCCTCCCAAGGGCTGGGATTAAAGGCATGTACCACCATGCCCAACAGAAGTTTTAAAATTTTTTATTTTTATTTTACGTGTACGAATGTTTTGCCTCTATGTACGTAAGAGCACTGATATGTACAATGCCTAGGGAGGGCAGAAGAGGGTATCTAATCCCCTGGAACTGGAGTTACAGATGGTTGTTTATAACCATGTAGGTGCTGAGAACTAGACCCAGGTCCTCCAAAAGAGCAGCCAGAGATCTTGACTACTGAGCCATCTCTCTAGCCACCTGACTGACTCTTAACTACTATGTATATTTAAGTGTCACTGAAGTTTTTTTAATAGATATAAAGGCTAAATCTGACAACATAATTTGTTCTACCTAAGGAATATAGACATTGGTACCAAATAACCGTGTCTTTTCTCTCCTTCTTTGAAATGGATGTTTCCATTTGCATAGGCTCTGAATATGCAGTGATAACATATTAATGTTCAACTAGATTTTCAGAAAAAGCTCCAAAGAAATAGCAAAATGAAGAAATGAAGACAACAAAAATTGACTCACCACTGTTCTCTGTTTGTTGGGCAGGAAGACTCTAACGATAGGTTTTTGTGGTGACTTGGGGTTACTCCGTGATACATCTGTGGGATTTTGAAAAACTGAAAGAGATGAAGGTAGCACTGAAAGGCTAGAAGAAGAAGAGGATGTAACGGTGTCCATTGATGCAGAGCTAGAAACAGAAAAATCAGTTCCATTCCCCAGGGATTCCAATAACTGTTGTTCTCTTTGTTGGAGGGCATCTAGCTTGCTGGTGTATTCTTCATAGGCCTATAAAATAAAGTAGACTCACATTGGATCTGGACTTTATCCTGACATTAACAAAATACGAATGCAGTCTTTGATTACAACCTCTTTATAATTTAAAACAGGGTTTTAAAAGCTACAAGTTACAAGTGCTGCTGAAAATACTATAAATATTTTCATTTTAAAATGGAAAATTGTTTGTTATAGGACACTATTATGTTGGGAAATGTGACCTACATATGTCATATTTAGATGGTCAATGAATATTAATGTAAAAAGCACAGTATTTTCTAGTCAAATAGTAATTTACTTTGGAAACCACAAGTTTAGCATAAGATAAAAAATATATAAAGTATTAGACTGAACAAAGGATTGCTGTCTCTCTGTATTATTTTATTTTCCAGAAAGGTTATAGGCATATGAGGTTTCATGTGAAGAGAGGAGAGAGGGAGAGAAGAAGAGAAGGAAGGAGGGGGAGAGAGAAGATGAAGCATTAAGAGAAATACGTTGAAGCTCAAAAGACTGAGCACACAGTGCCAGAGCACTCAGTGGGGCCTAGAAGACTCACAGCTACTATCTTCTTTCTGAAATAGTTATAGCTATCAGGTACAATAGTTCATTCCTAAAAAAAACAAAAACAAAAACCCAAAAAACAAACCTTTATTCTTCTCACTATGGATCCCTAATTACCTCCTTCCCCATCAAATACTGCTTAGCAATTAATTGTATTTGAAATGTGTTTTACACCCTGTAGTCACAGGAAATTCTGGGCCACTATCTATCAGCATATCCTCAGACATTCCTTTTGACTAAGGCTGTAAGATCAAATGACCATATACAATACCAAATTCTAAAGGAAAAGCATGAAACTGAAAGTAAAGAAAGTGGAGCCAGGCATGGTGGTGCATGCCTTTGATCCCAGCACTCAGGAGGCGGAGGCAGGAGGATCTGTGAGTTCAAGGCCAGCCTGGTCTATGTAGTGAGTTCCAGGCCGGCTAGGGCTGCAGGGAAACCCTGACTAAAGAAGAAAAACAACAACAACAACAACAACAACAACAACAACAACAAAAAATTAGAAAGTGGAGCACATATGTCCATAGTTCTTCAAGACAGTGGAAATTCCTTCACCCATAGTCCACCATTGCTCCCTACCATCCCAAAAGGACATAGAACCACAAACATTTATGAAAGCCTACAAATGGGAATCAGATTTTAATATAGCATTTCCCATTTCTCAAGGAGTTTACTGGGCTGGTGAGGTGGCTCAGCAGGTAAAAGTACTTGCCTGCAAGCCTGACGACCTGAATTTGATCTTCCGAACACATAGTAGGATGAGAATCAACTCTTGAAAGTTGTCCTCTGAGCTCCTCATGCGCACCCCCCCACAATACATATACACAATAATGATAAAAAATAAAGTCAAAAATTTAAAAAAGAATTTATTACTGGGCTGTGCAGAAGCAGATGGATATATTTTTACTTGTATGTCATGTATAAGAAATAACATTCCTGATATTAGGTGAGATATTAGGGCTAGCTTAGAAAGGAAGGCACTTACATGGATGGAAGAAATAGGGTCCTGTGTTTTATTGTAACAAAGTAAGGAGGTAGGAAAGTTCTAAGACATAGAGAACTGTAGACTAGTAAAGCTGAATATCATGTAAAATGTGGGACATTGAAAGGGACAATATATATTTGTAGAATTTTAATTAAGAATGGTACACAGGTACATAAGGAAACAGTAAGAACAGAGAGATGGGCAAAGGACCAGATTGTAGTATGTATTTAGTATGCTCTGAAATCTGAATGTCATAAGCAAACAGGAATTATCAAAGGTAGAGGAGAATGAAAGAGCAATTTCTCTTCAATAAAGGCTTCAGCACCCTGATATACTATATCTTACCACACAACTTTGAAAAAAGGAAGAAAAAGAAGACGAAGACAGAACTGCTGAGGCGCGGAGGTAAGGAGCCTAACTGCTGTGAAAAGTCCCCCTTTTGCAGTTTGTTGACTGTTCAACTCTGGTCCTGAACTGTGTCAGAGGAGACCCGGCCACTAAAAGCAAGCCAGTTCAAATCTGTCTGACCTATACTTCTGTTTAGTTTACACATCCAATGGCTAATTAGGGCACCTTTCTCAGTATGATTCATTTATTGAGTCTTCTGCCATCTGATAGATATATATTGTCCACATCTGTATTAGCACTAGCTCAGACTATGAAAGCAGGCAAGACTGACACAAGTCTTACCCTGTAAAGGTTATATACACGCTGTATGGGAGACAAGTCCCTCCTTGCATAGATCAAATAAATATTCCTAGTTACTAAAATCTAAGCAAGTATACTTCATTATATAAAGTTACCCTTATGAAAAGAAATGAATGGAAACAATGAATTTTCCAAATGTTTTCTTTATCAAAATGTTAGCACTCAATTTTGGAAAATACGCTGATTCTTTCATTAAGGATTGCAGGCTATCATTTCATCATATTTATCAACAGCTCTCCATCTGCTAAATAAAACATCTATTCAAACCAAACCAAAAAGAGATCAATACATATCTACTAGGATGGTTATAATGAGAACAAAATGGGAAAGAAGTGCTGGTAAGGATATGGAGAAACAAACCTACATTTATTACCGATGGGAAGGTAAAGTAGTGCCACGGCTTCAAAAAGTGTTTGGCAGTTCTTCAAAACTTAAGAATTACCACAGAACACAGCAATTCTACTCCTATGCACACAACCAAGAGAACTAAAAAATATATACACAAAGTCTGTATGTGAATGTCCACAGTGGGATTACTAATAATACCCAATAAATTAAACAGTCCAAATGTTCATCAATTGTTAAACGGGTAGACAAAATGTTTTCTCCACATGGTAACTGTTCAGCCAGAAAAAGAAATGAAGTGCTGAAAATGCTACAACGTAGACCAACTCTGAAAACATTACGTCAAACAAAAGCATCCAACTATAAAAATCCACATATAAAATAACAACACAGGCAAAAATCTGTGATTTCCGAGGGCTGGAGGGAACAAATGATAATGGATAAGAAGTTTCTTCTGGGGATCGATGAAATGTCTTAAAATTAATGGTGAGGCTGCAACATTTTATAAATTTACTGCATCTAGTTCACTGAATCTGCCCCTTGCCTTTTTTGTGTACCAGGGACCAAACCCAATGTGTTATGCATACGAGGTAAGCATTTTACCACACAACTACATACTCACCCTTTTTAATTCTTTTATTTTGAGAGAAGGTTGCTAAATTACCTTTTACCTTCAATTATGAAATTGAAGACTAGCCTTCAATTTGGGTGCCTTAGCCTATAGGATTACAGGAGTGTGTCTTCAGCATTAAACTTATTCTTATTGAATTTATTATCACAATATCTAATGAAACCTTATGAACTTCCCAGGGAAATATATAATGGATTGATCTGTATTATGGTATTCTTTTCATTGTAGAGATTGATGAAATGTGCCTGCACTGTTCCAGGTTCTACAAATCTGGAGATCAAAAACACTGCCCTGCATTTTAAGAATGCTATGTTGACTGCTTTAGTTTGATCTAAAATGTCACATGAAGGCCACATGGTAAAGGCATGGTCTTCCTTATTAGGAGGTGATAAAACCTTTAAGAGGTAAGGCTTAGTATAAAGAAGTTAGATTGCTAGGGGCAAATTTTTTTCCCTTTTTTTTTTGAGACAGGGTCTTACTATATAGCCATGGCTGGCCTACAACTCACTGTGTAGACAAGACTGGCCCTTTACTCACAGCCTGCCTTGACCACTTGAGGATTAAAGGCACAGGCCACCATGCCTTGGAGGGGCAAATCTGGCCCCTTTTTGTTTCTTGGCTGCCTTGAAATTAACAGCTTTGTTTCACCATAGGCCCCCTCCTCCCTACTATGATTCTCTGCCTCAGTAGAGGCCTCAAAGCAATGGAGCCAGCTGGTGATGGACTGAAACCCCTGATACTGTGAAAAACTTGGACAGGGTCTCCCTAGTCCCAGGCAGACTGGAACTCACTATGTAGGCCAGATTGGCCTCTATCTCACAGAGATCCACCTACCTCTGCCTCCTGAGTGCTGGGATTAAAGGTGTTCGCTACTGCACCCGGCATAAAAACCTCTTTTTGTATTTTGTTTTATTTTTATTTTTATTTTTTGGTCTTTTTGAAACAGGGTCTCCCTGTAGCCCCAGCTGTCCTGGAACTCATTATGTAGACCAGGCTGGCCTTGAACTCAAGGAGATCCGCCTGTTTCTGCCTCCCCAGTGCCGGGATTAAAGGTGTGCGCCACCACGCCTGGCTTCTTTTTGTATTTTAAGTGTGTAACTTGAATATTTTGTCACAGTGACAGAAGTAGACTAATAAAATGATTAAGAACATAGCAGCACATGAAGTTAGGAGGGGAGTATGGGGAGTACAGGAGGATTTGGAAGGAGGAGTAGAGAGTAGATATAATCTAAATACATACATACATACATACATACATACATACATACATACATACATATTCATGTATGAAATTACCAAAGAATAAAGAGCATAGGCTCTGAATTCAAAATGTCTATCTATAAATTCTGATTTCACCAACTACTAATTGCATGTTATTAAATCCCTCTTGCGCCTGATTTTCTGCATCTATAAGACAAAAACTGAGAAAAATAATTATAACTTAAAGGGTAGCTTGAAGATTAAGTAACCCATTAAATGCTTAGAATAGTGCCAAGTACAGAGCAAGTACTTAATAAATGTTAGGGGCTATTATTTCATTAATCGGTCTGCAAGGGGTCCCTATCATACAACTATATAGTCACATGTTACTACTAGGGAGGTAGGATTATTATAGAAGCACCATCTTGTCAACTCTGGGCTCCACATGTCAGGTACAGAAACAAGAATTTACTATTAGAAAAGCATCTGGGGCCAGCAAGATGGCTCAGCAGTTAAGGCACTTGTTGCCAAGCCTGATAACCCGAGTTTAATCTGTGGGACCCACACAGTGAAAGGAGAAAA